GTTTTCTAGTTCCACTGTTTGACCTGAAACACTAAAGTCTAAGAAGAATATAAGGAATGAAGTAAAATGAAGAAGTTTGTCCATTCAATATGGCAGGAAGATACAACTGAAGACAAAATCTGAAGGTGCTTCTCACAAAGTTGGATGTTTCACATTCAGTTTTATGTTCTATGAAAAATACCCCTCATAATCCTAACTCTTCAACACAAGCCATATCTACTAGCAAAGTCAGCTGGTGTCAGTGCTGCCTTAAGGAGACCAAGGAGCACTGTACCTCTGCTTGGGGATGATGTAGATTGAATGTCCTTGTAAAGATGAGCCAGCAAGAGGTGAGAAGGGGCCAGAGATTTGGCCCAGTGGTGCCGTGTCTGCCTAGCAAGTACAAAGCCCTGAGTTCTATCCCCAATACAAAAAAAAAAATTCCCCAAAAAAAAAAAAAAAAAAAAAGGCCAGGGATTTAGCCTATTGGTGCCACCACCTGCCTCAAAAGCACAAGGTTCTGCATTTAATCCCAGGTATCGAAAACCAAACAAACAAACAACAAGAACAACAAAATAGGTGAAGGATGAAAATCTGAGAGCAGGAAGTCAGAGGTGTTGTCCAGGTAAATGTATTCATCTAAGAAATTCTACAAATTTGCAACATGAGACAGAATTTCTTGCAATCTATATTATATCTCTATTTGGATAGTAAAGCAAAGGAAATCCTGACAGATACAGGATTTAGAACTTTGTGGGTCACAATATTCAGACTTGAATATTGATAGTTTATAGTTTTTAGACTTTATTTAACTACGGAAACCTTTTAATCAAATGAAAGTTTATATGGAACCCAATGCATAAAACATAAAAACTAAGTCACTGTGATAAAATGGGATAGGTGCTTAAATCCATGCATCCTTGGCCTATCTCATGTGCCTACATTGGCCCTCAGGCTCCTCTGTGGAATACCAGTACACCAGAGACACAGTTTCAAAGCCACAGGAATCTGCCTTTTTATATTTCAGACAGTTGATCTTTCTACCTGACTTTGAATGCTCAGTACCTGCTAGGTAGTATGCACCTTCTTGATGGGGTGTTCTTCTGCCTCCCAAATAGGATTCTTCAACTTCTACCCACTGGTGCACCTTCTACCAACTGGTCTTAGTAGAAAAAATCAAAATAAGCCTAATTCTTTCCATGTCACAGCTCTTCAATTCTTAGAAGACGCCTTATTCTCTTCCTTAAGTTGTATTTATTACAAGGTAAATATTCTTCATCCTCCAGCTATTCTCAAACTATTCTTAAATGCATACATTACTTTGGATCAGAAATTACTAGCATCGATTGGAAAAATAAACTGAGCAGAGGAAGGGCATTCACTTAAAATAAAACAAGGCCCCGCAGAAGAGGATTGCAGCCCCACACACTTTGAAGACAGTAAAAGAAAACAAGAGGTGTTGAACCAAAAACAGTCCAGAATACATCTGCCTTCCTGGAAATCAAGCCCAACTTCATTTAGCTCAGGGACATGCCTGGGATCACTCCTGGCCCTGGCAGTCACCAAATCAGGGACAGGAAAGGTTTACCAATCAGCAGCAGAGGCATTAAGCTCTTTGGTATTCTTGAAACACTCCTCAGTAGCTGGGCTCAAGACTGCAGGACAGTTGTGCCTAGCATGGATGAATTTCATCTCCTCTTAATTAACTGACTACATATCTACAGAGGTGATGGACCTTGGGCAATGCCATGGACTCTGGTATCTGAAGAACACCATTCTATACCCTTGGATCCATTGATTATTTTTTCTGAGCAGGATGTGTTGGCCCACCTGCATCATTTGGTTAATAATGGTTGGACTGATGCTCTGTACTTGGTTTTGGTGTAGTCTGTGGGGTGGGAGGTGAGTTTTGAAGCTTAGGACTAGTTGCACAGTTAGAAAGTGCTCATGTGGCTCACAACCATGACCACATCCACCTCAAACACAATCTGAGCTTCCTGGTTCCAGGGAGCTTCACATGCACATGAGCAGGAGTTTGAAGCCTGAAGATTATGAGCAAATTGTACAACCCAATTGCACAGACACCTATGATATCAACAACCCCTTGCAATGTCTATCTCTCTGCTGTGTGACTGCACTGGGATCTTTGCCTAGGTTAAGGTTCTTCTGTATCAACTGTGTGAGGCTGGTGAGTTCGTTCAGCAAGAGAACATGGGACTATTCACAAAAGATTCAGGCAATGAGTGATTCATATACAGCCCCTGAGGCCTGAAGGAGGCTTTGTGAAACCATCAGTCTCTGGCTTTTACAGTATTGGGTTTTTTTAAAGCCAGTGGTGGGAGTAGGGGTGTTAATGAAGTACACAATATTTCAGTTCTTCTGGATTTTAAGGAGGCTCCTCCAGAAAAACAAGAGAAATGTGCTCTGGTTTACTGAAGTAGACTATTTCTAAATCTGAAAAAGGACAGGTCTGTCCGAGTTTGCCAGTATGTATGCAAAAAGATGGAAAAGAACCACCACATTAATCCTTATTTCTTCCTCACAACCTGCTTTATTTGGACTCTACACATCTTAGAAAAAGCAATGTGGTTTCACCATGTAATTCCACAAACAGAATGCTACAGACTCTTGAATTCTCAAATAATTCTGCAAATAATTCAAACATAAATGAATTAAAATTATCAGATTGAAGAAAGCATCAAAGTAGCATGATGTTGGCCAGGAGTTGTTAAAACAAAGGTTCAGGAAGGCAGTTAGTTCAAGGGAAAGAGAATATATATGAATGCATGTATACATACATAAACATGTGTAGTATGTAATTTTTACATACTACACATGTAGAAAAAATAATCCATGATAAAAATGAAACAATAGACCCATTCTTAGCTAGGTTTTGGGTTGTATGTGAGCCTATGCTCTGCCCTCTGCTGTCTGTAACTGTGAACAAGTGTTAACTGCTTCGAGGCTGCTTAGTTTCCTCATCTATAAAGGGCCACAGCTTTCACTGTGCAAGATTCTGATGAGGACTAAGAGAATTTATGCGCTATACATGTTATTAAGCTGACAAAAACAACTGAAAGATGTCCAAAGCAGCAATTTTGACCAATATGTGCAGACTTGCTTTCCTCCATGTTGTGTGAAGAGGAAAGAAAGGGGGAGTGGAAATCAGAGAAGGGCCAAGGAGGAAAGAGTTATTTGGCCATGGAGGGAACTCTATGTATTTATCCCTATCTGTCCACTCTCGAATAGTCCACTAAAGACCAATCAGGAAATCAGAGACAGATAAAGCATGGATCTTGAGCATGGGCACAGTCATGGGCTCCCTACCTCCCCCCATCCACCTGCAACAGAGCAAGGACTCAAGAGGGAGGCTAGCTGTAGGTGTGTGGAAGGGTAGACATAGGACTACAGTCATTTGTCATGTTGTGTATACTACAGAATCCTGGACCATTTCACATGCTTATTTCAGCTCATGTTTATCATTGTCCTGAGGAAAGGGTAACTAAAAGTATAACTAAGACTCTGAGTTTGTTGTGCTGAGGGTATAGCTCAGTGGTAGAATGCTTGCCTAGTGTGCATGAAGCCCTGGGTTTGATCCTCAACAGAAGGAGAGGGAGGGAGGAAAAGAGGGAAGGAGGGAAGGAAAGGAGAAGAAAGGGAGGGGAGGGGAAGGGAAGGAAGGGAAGAGGACAAGGGAGAAGGAAACTGAGCTGTGCTGCCCAAAGCGATCATCTGGTAAGGGCTCAACTACAACTCAAGCCTGAACCTCCTCATTATTGTAGTTTCCTCCTTTCTACTCACTCACATTCTCCCTCCCCACTCCTCTCTCTCTCTTTGGCTTTTGCAGGGAATTCAACCTGGATGGATAGAAGGGGGAGTTGAATGACCCTTCCAAGTGGCCCTCCGCTGATTAGGGTTGGTTAAATGCCACCCTTTAGCACATTACCTGTGTTTTCTAGCAAGGTACCTAGCAGGAGCAAGCCCTAGTTGCCCACAATGGTAAATATCCACCCATAAAACAAATGCTTGGATCCCCCCTTCCTGTCTGTCTTTCCCCACTTCCCCACATGTTCCCCCGGAATCCCCTCCTGTGGAAACAGTAGCACCAAGTCATTACTAGATCTACTTTCAGAGGAACCCAAACTGAGACAAATTCCCAAATCCACGTGGTTGCTGCTACTGCTGTTATATTTTCAATTACTTTATATCCTCACCAGCACTGAAAGTAATAATGACCGGGGTGGTTGATCAGTTATACCCTGAGAATAACTCTATCAGCATTTGAAAGGGAAGACCATTCTCCAGACACAGCCAGCTACTGCCATAGATTCACAAAGCATCCACCTGCCAACAGCTCTCCAATTTTATGGCAAGGTGGTAAAGGTTTCCAGGGTCTCTACTAATGCAGGTACAGATCCATTTGGGCCTTTTAAAGTCAGCAAACAAGTTTTAGAATATATCCCCCAAATAAGATATTATTTCTCAATTCAAGAAAATAACTGCATTCACAGGAGTAAGAGAAAGCCATATACAGGCTCAAAGCATTTACATTATAGAGAGTACACATACTTTTGGGAGATTTTGAGAGCTTTCAATATTATACCTAAAAATGACCTGCTTTTGTTTTTTAAGTATAAAGAGATATCTAATTACTTATAATCAACTTTATAGTCAACTGTATGGCTTCTATGGGCTGAGGCTGTTTTGATTTTTTTTTTTTTTTTTTTTTTTTTTTTTTTTTTTGTACTGGGGATTGAACTCGGGTTCTTGCGCTTGCAAGGCAGGCCACCGAACCGCTGAGCTAAATCCCGGCCCTGTTTTGATTTTTAAAAGTAAGTGTATAACATTCTCACATGAAAATCAGAGGTAGCACAACCCACTGACATGAGATGGGCATTTTTCCTGCAGCTTGCATCTGTGGATGCAAGACCTGTGAGTTACATACAAAAAGCTCACAAAGCAGTTTTGTTTTATAAGACTAACCATTTATTTAACAAAATAAACATTTCTAATGTCTAGTACTTTCTATATTTAAAATTTCTGGAAAATGACTCACATTCTACAGTACACATCATTACAAAAGAGTTAATAATAATAAATTCAGATCAACTAGGAAACTTTCTCTATGATTGAAAATTCACTGTACTTTAGTGAAGTGAAGTGACAAGTTCTGAAAAGCCCACGCCTCCTTGTTGGAGGAGACATATCTCTAGGAAACCCTCCCTTCGCTCTGACCTGTCTGTCAGAGGAGCCTTTCAGGATAAAACAGGAGGAAGCCCACTTCTCTATTGTTGTTTCCCAGGGCAAATGTAAGTCCTTTCAATCTAGGAAAGAACTCCAAAATATGGAGATTGCTCTTTCCCTCCTACTTATGCACACTCTGCTCGACAAAGCCAAGGTATTCTGTGGCATTTGCTCGCATACTGACTGCTGTGTGAAGCTGTTCTGAGTGCGAGTGTGTGGGAGACCTTCTGAATAATGTACAGTTCTCAAGAGAAAGAACCACAGGCCCTGAAAGTCTTGCTCTTACAAACTGTGGAAGCAAAGGATCACTTGTGCCTCACAGAATCGGGGGGCTGTATCCCCAGATGCAAAGTACATTTTCCAGGTTTCTCCAGGGCAAAGGCCGGGTGAACACCCTCACTGAACCTGTGCCTCACGATGAAGAGCAGCTGCTCACTCTCGGCGTTTATGAACACGAGCCTCTGGTTGGCGTAGTCCAGCAGAATGCCCACGCGGGCGGGACGCTCAGTCACATGGACATCACTCACAATGCCGCTGTAGAAGAACGTGTATCTGAAATGAGACAGAAGGGAAATTTTAAATTTGGGGAAATCTTGAAGAATTTGGGAAGGAAAAATCACTTGGAAATAACCAATTTTTCAGTCATTAGCTTCAATTAAAAATAACAAGTTGCAATAATGTTGTCCCAAATACTTTCCCAGATTCCTCCTGTATGCTAAATGCATAGCTTATCCCAAAAGACAAACATTTTGAATAATTTTCTTCTTCTACATTAGGAGTTTGTCCCAGAATAACCAACATATGCCTCCCTTGTGATTTTTCTCAACATTCTAATTCTTTCCCAGCTGCCCACATGTTTTAACTACCGCATTCATGGTGTGTCATTCTTTTGAATAAAACTTCCTGGAGGCTGCTATGTATTTTAAAAAATACCACAGGCTTGCCTTCCATACAAAGCATTAATTTTATAGATTTAAAGATTTATAGGTAACTTATGTAAGGGGCTTTATAAGGTTTAAGAAAGATTTCATTATTTTGCAAGCCGCATGCTTTGAATACACTGCTGCTGCCCCAAACCAAATTTCCCTTCCATCTTCGCCATTTTTCTAAAGCACTGCAGCCAGAGAGTTTTGCCTTTGATTTCTCTAATTCAAATAAATCAAACACATGCTTCCGCATAATATTTGTGTATCTGGCACTTCTCTGTGCGCTTCTCTGGAGAACACAAAGGGCCACTAAGGAACCCACACTGCACAGAGCAGACAGGAGAAACTGTCACCAAGTGCAAATGGGATGAGGGCTGAAAAAACTGCTGTCAGAGCACACAATGCTCCAATGTCTACTCAACACATTTAGTGTGCTCTTTTGGTTGTGAAAGGAAGTTCAAGGCCAGGCTGAGAGGGGGAAATTGTTGGCCTTTTCTGAAAACCTGATTTGGCCCCAGCAAAGGGTTAAATTCAGAGCTTTCTCCTACCAGACTTAGAAATTGAGAATGAGGCTCTGAATCAGAAGAAGGGAAAAAATGAAAGATGAAAGAGAAGAAAAGATATGAGCAAGAAATCTCTCTATAGAACAGATTTGCATCCTGGGGACATACTCAGGCAGTCTGAGGTCTCAGGATCTGGGTAAGTGTTAAGGCAGCAGGGACCAAGGACCTTCAGACCTGTGATGTCTACCCTAAGGCTCAGAAATTCAAGCATTTCAGATATGGCAAATCAGTTTCATGCAAAGAGAAGCTCATGAGGAAGGATTGAGGACAGGACATGAGATGCGCAGGATGACCAGGGGCCTTTCAATGCCTTGCTAATGAGAAGGATGACAGGACACTTCAAGTACTTCAAGTGGCAATTATAGGGAGCATCAGTGAGGCTGAAGCTCCTAGAGAAGACTCTGGGGACAAAGGAATCATGTTCCAATGAAGAATGTGTGGGATAGAGTAGGAGGAAAGAAGAGATAGAAGCAGTGGAGGTGGCAGAAACAAGGAAGAGATAACCCAAATGAGGCAATTCCCTTCCTTGCCTTAAAGTCCCTGCTCTAAGCAAGCCCAGCCCTGTCAATGCCCAGTCCCCACCACAGAGGCCAAGGAGGAAAAGGAATCCCCTGAAGCCTTGACTCCACCAGTTCCACAGGATTTGGAATCTGCCCAGCTCTGCTCCTGCCTCCATTGCCTGCACACCAGCTCTTCCATGTTACAGTTTGTTTTTTTGTTTTGTTTAGTTTGGTTTGGTTTGGTTTTTTTGAGACAGGGTCTCACTGTATAGTTGAGACTGACCTGGAACTCACTATGTAGCCCAGGCTGGTCTCGAACTCACAGCGATCCTCCTGCCTCAGCCTCCCAGTGCTGGGATTACAGGCGTGTGCCACCACGCCTGGCTCCATGTTACAGTTTGGACCTTATCCAGGAGATTAAAAACTCTATTAAAAGTATACATAGCAGACTAACCCAATCTGAAGACAGAATATCAGATATAGAAGATAGGATGGCAGTCAGTGATCTTGAAAAGAGAGTTCTTTAAAAAATAGGGACCACAAGAAATTAATCCAATAACTCCTAGATAATGCAAAGAATAATATAAGATTAATAGGAGTCCACAAAAAAGCAGGAGAAAGCACTAATGACATATAAAAGTCTGTTCACAGAATTAATAACAGAAAACTTCCCAGACAAACCAAAAGAATATGACATACAAATAAGTGAGGCATATAGGATTCCAACTAGTTACAATAAAATAAAATCTACACCTAGACATATAATAATCAAGATCCTGGAAACCCAACAGAAGTATAAAATATTACAAGCAGTTAGAGAAAAGAAACAAATTACATGCAAAGGAAGCCCATCAGAATCACAACAGACTTTTCAATACAAACCCTCAAGTCAAGGAGAGGTTGGAGTGACGTATTTAATCTTAAAAGAAAACAACCTCCAACTTAGGCTGATGTATCCTGCAAAACTATCTTTCAAAACTGATGGAGAAATAAGATATTTTCATGAAAAATAGCACCACAGAAACTTTATGAATACCAAACCAGCACTCCAAACAATTTTTTTAAATATCCTAGAAAAAGACAATGAAGGTCACAACTCCATGAGGCCCAAGAGAACAAATCCAATAGACAAGGATTTAAAGGGAGAGGGAGAAAAATAAAAAAGAACACACAACAGGAAAATAATATGACAATGATAAATCAATACATATTAGTTATAAACATCAATGTCAGTGGCCTCAATTCACCAATCAAAAGAAATAGACTGGCAGAATAGATTAAGAAGCAAAATCCAACAATATGCTGTATATAAGAAACACACCTACTTGAAAAAGAAACTCATAGACTGAAAGTGAAAGGATAGAAAACAGTTTTCCATGTGATAGGAACTCAGAAAAAAGCAGGGTTAGCTATCTTATTTGTAAACAAAGTAAATTTGAAAGCAAAACTAATTAAGAGAGACAAAGAAGGTCACTACAGCCTTGTAAAAGGAACAATCCAAGAGGAAGAGATGACAATCATAAATATATAGGCACCAAATACTTATGCCCTCAACTATACAAAACAAGTATTAAGGGACAAGAAACACCAAATAAGCACTAATACAATTGTAGTGGGAGACCTCAATACCCCATTGTCACAAATAGATCATCTAGACTAAAAATCAACAACAAAATACTAGAACTGAACCAAGCTTTGAACAAATAGACTTAATAGATGTCTGCAGATTGTTCCACCCCACAAAATCACAATACACATTCTTTTTGGCTGCCCACTGGTCATTTTCCAAAATAGACCACGTTAGTTCATAAAACATAGTTAAGTAAATCCAAAGGAATTGAAATTATCGCATGTACATTATGAGACCATAGAGCAATTAAATTGGAGATCAATAGGGCCAGGGATTTAGCTCAGTGGTTCTGTTGCCTGCCTTGAAAGCACAAGGACTCAAGTTCAATCCCCAGTACTAAAAAAAAAAAAAAAATTGGAGATAAATACCATAAGAACCTGTAAGAACTTAACAAACACGTAGAAATTGAGTAACACTCTCCTGAACAACTAATGGGTCAAAGCAGAAATTAAAGAAGAAACTAGACAGTTTTTGCAATTTAATGACAATGTCAGTACAACATACAGAAATCTATACGATACAACGAAAGCAATTTTACATGGGAAATTGATAACAGTGAATGCCCACACTAGGAAAACAGAGTAAGCTAAAATAAACAACCTAATGGTGAATCTTAACCTCCTAGAAAAAGAACAAGAGAAACTCAAAGCTCATATAAGGGAGAAAACTATAAAGATCAGAGCAGAAATCAATGCAATGGAGACTAAGAGAACAATACTGAAAAAACAACAAATTGAAGAGTTGGTTTTTTGAAAGAATAAATAAAATTGATAAACCCTTAGAAAACCTTATCTAAAAAAAAGAAAGAAAAGGCTCAAATTCATACAATTAGTAATGAAAATGGTAAAGTCACAACAGATTCAACAGAAAGCCAGAGGATCATCAATACTTACTTCAAGAACCTGTACTTTAATAAAATAGAGAACACAGAAGAAATGGACAGATTTCTAGATACATGTGAATTACCAAAGTTGAACAAAGAATATATAAAAATTCTATCGGTGAAATTGAAAATATAATTTAAAATTTACCAACAAAGAAAAGCCTAGGTCCTGATGGCTTCACTGCTGAATTCTACAAGACATTTAGAGAAGACCTATTGCCACTACTCTTTAAATTTTCAATGAAATTGAAAGGGAAGCAATACTTCCAAATTCATTCCTAGAAGCAAGTATTACTTTGATTCTAAAACCAGAAAAGAACCAAACAAAAAAGAGAGCTACAGGCCAATCTCCCTAATGAATATAGATGCAAAAATCCTCAATAAGATACTGGCAAACAGAATACAGAGGTCATCAAAAAAATTATATGCCCTGATCAAATCAGATTTATTCTAGGCATGCAAGAATGGTTCAACACACGTAAATCAATAAGTGTAATACACTATATTAACAGAATCAAGACAAAAACCATATCATCATCTCAGAAGATGCAAAATAAGCATTTGACAAAATTCAACACCCATTCATGATAAAAACCCTGTAGAAAATTGGAATAGATGGTCTATATCTCAACTTAATAAAGGCTATCTTTGAGAAGCCAACAGCCAACATCATAGTAAGTGGTCAAAACTAAAAACCTTCACAGTAAAATCAGGAACAAGACAAGAATGTCCACTATCACCACTCGTGTTCAATATAGTTTTGGAAACATTTGCCTCAGCAATTAGACAAGTGAAAGAAACAAAAGCAATAAAGATAGGAAAGGAAGAAGTGAAACTGTCATTATTTGCTGATGATATGATACTCTATATGGAAGACCCAAAGAACTCTGCCAAAAGACATCTAGACTTGATTGACAGATTCAGTAGAGTAGCTGGATAAATGTAAATACTCAAAAATCAATAGACTTCTTGTACACAAATAACAGACTCACTGAGAGTGAAATTAGGGAAACAATACCTTTTACAATAGCATCCAAAAAATGAAATATCTAGGAATCAATCTAACAAAGGAAACAACAGACCTCTACATTGAGAACTACAACACTCTCCAAAAAAAAAAGAGAGATTGAATAGGATATAAGAAAATGGAAAGACATCTTTTGTTCCTGGGTAGGAAGAATCAATATAATGAAAATAACCATACTTCCAAAACTGCTATACAGAATCATGCAATCCCTATTGAAATTCCAACAGTATATTTCATAGAACTAGAGAAAACAATCCAAAAATTCATCTGGAATCAGAAGAGACCTAGAATAGCAAAAGTCATTCTAGGCAACAGAGACATAATACCCCCAATATCACAATCCCCAACTTGAAACTACACTACAAAGCCACTGTGATAAAAACAGCATGGTACTGGCAAAGAAACAGACCCAATGATCAATGGAACAGATTAGAAGATATAGAAACAACTCCAGATATACTCAGCTACCTCATCTTTGACCAAAAAAAACCAACACCCTCACTGAAGGAAAAATATCCTCTTTAATAAATGGTGTTGGGAAAACTGGGTTTCAGCTTGTCAAAGATTAAAATTAGACCCATATCTTTTTTTCAGCTTTAATTGAGTTTATTGGTACATTTTAGGGATACAGTACAGTTACATTCATTGTTGGGATCTTGTACCTCTACATGACACGTCTTGATTCTCATTTTTCCCCTTACCCCTGCCCTCCCTTCACCCCCTCCTCCCCTCCCCATCTACAAACACTTTATTTTCATTATCTCACCTTTTTTTCTTTTCCCTTATTACCCTTCCCCTACCCATCCCACCTTCCCTACACCTTTAGCTCCTTTCTTCCCATTTCTAAATGTCAGTAATCTTATTAGGATCTTATGTATTATTGCAGATCTTTCACCATTCACTACACTAAAATCCAAGTGAGCCAGGCATGGTGGCCCACACCTTTAATCCCAGCACTCGGGAGGCTGAGACAGGAGGATTGCTGTGAGTTCAAGACCAGCCTGTGATGCACAGTGAGTTCCAGGTCAGTCTCAACTACATAGTGAGACCCTGTCCTCCCCCCAAAAATCCATGTGTGTTAAAGATCCAAATATTAAAACAGAAACACTAAACTTGCTGGAAGATAAATTGGGTGGAACTCTTGAAGATATCAGCATAGAAAAGACTTTATGAACAAATCCTCAGTAGCACAGGAACTAGCACAAAGAATCCACAATTGGGATCTCATCTTTTAAACAGCTTTTGCACTACCAGAGGAATCACAAGCAGAGCTAAGAAACAACCCACAATGTGGGAAAAAAAATTATCAGCTGCTCCTCAGCCAAAGGTCTACTATCTAGAATATATAAAGAACTCAAAAAAATCAGACCTCCCCAAATATAAAGAAAGACCCAATCCAAAAATGGGCATCTGAAATGAACAGACATTTCTCAGACAAAGAGATAAAAAGAGCAAACAATCGTATGAAAAAAAGTTAAACATCACTGGTCATTTAAGAGATGCAGATGAAAACAACACTGAGATTCCACCTCAGCCCAGTAACAATGGCTGCTATCAAGAAATCAACCAATGATAAATGCTGCCAGGGTTGTAGGGAGAAAGGAACCCTTCTTCATTGTTGGTGCAAGTGCAGACTGGTGCAATCACTATGGAAATCAATATGCAGATACCTAAAACAACTATGATTAGAAGTCCCATTTGACCCAGCTATTCCTTCACTGTGTATATTCCCAAAATAATTAACAGAATCACACCACAGTGATATGTGTTCACCCATGTTTATAGTGCCACAGTTTGTAATACCTAAAACTTGGAAACAGCCTAATTGCCCATCAACTGGAGACTGGATAAAGAAGATGGGGGTTTTTTATAAAAGGGAGTACCACTCACTCATAAAGACCAAGAAACTAGAGAGATTTATAGCTAAGCAGATGCTCATTGAGGCCATACTCTTTAAGTGAAATTAATAAGTCACACATGTGTAAATACCAAATAGTTTCTCTGGTGTGAAAAAGTAAAAGTGTAAATAAAGATCAAAATGTGTAATTGATAGTTTGTAATAGGAAGAAAAGTCTAAAAGAGTAGAGGAAGTGGGAAGCGTAGGGGAAAGGTAAAAAGGGAAAAGAAAAAAATATGTGAAAAGGAAAATCATGGAAACAATGTCTTTGTAAACAGGGAAGGGTAGAAGGGCTGAAGGGAAGGCTGGGGAATGGAGAAAAACAAGAACCAAGAGAAGACATGTAAAGGTACTAGATCCCAATGATGAATGTAACTGTATTGTATACCTATAACGTACCAATAAATCAAATAAAGATAAATAAATAAATTAATAAATAAATAAATGTCTCTAATGGCCTGTGCTTGATCAGAAGCCTTTGGTTCTACTGGAAGGTGGTGGCACCTGTAGAAGGGATCCTAAGAGAAAAAGTGAGGTCTTGAGTGTGTGCCTTGAAGGGGACACCACAATCCACTCCATTCTCTCTCTTTGCTTCTCAGCCTCCAGGAAGTGAATATGTCTTTTCTACCATGTGTTTCTGCTGTAATGTAACATGCTGCCCATACCCAAAGCCACTAGGCCAAAGGAACATGGACTGAAATTTCTGAAACAGTGATCCAAAATAAGCCACAGCTCCTGGTAAGCTGATTGTCTCAGGCATTTTGTCACAGTGTCAGAAAGCTGACTAACACACTCCACTCACTTAAAACATTGGACTAAAGCCAAGCCTGACTGTCTGGAGCCTGACCCCTGGGGACATGGACTGTCCAGAAGCCTGACTGAACTTCTATGTGACCCTAGAGCTGCCTCCTATCCAAAGGTCCTCTGGAACCCACTGCTAACCCAGACATAGCCCAGAGTCTCACCCACACTGATGACCACTCCCTCTGAGCTGGTTTCCATGTAGTTTGCAGGGGGCTCCTAGAAGGAGCGATCTCCAGACGCCCCCCCACTAAAATAAATGCATCTTGGTCCCCCCTTCCTGTCTGTCTTTTCCCACTTTCCCACATGTTCCTCCTGAAATCCCCTCCTGTGCGCATGCGCAGTAGCTTGCCAACCCCTGGTATAGACCAGTGCCTGGGGAAATGTTGGAGACTCGCTTCTTCCTCCCTCTGTGGATTCCTTTTTTTGAAAGAGAGCCCTTTTAGCATCACCTTGTGGCATCTCTCCATCTTAGGATGAGTTTAGAAGGAAAATCTGGCCATGCATAGCCTAGCTGCCCCTCCTCTTCCCAGCCTCTTGGTCATGAGACACATATCTTTCTCTGCCTCTCTAGGGACCAACTCTGCTCTGCAGGTTTCTGGGTTGGCCTGTCTGCCCAATAGCAGCATTCAAATATAAGCAACTCTCTTGTCCTCAGGCATGGGCCGTATTCTGTAATGCCATCTTCCTCAGTAATCAGAGTAATAGTTCAGTCTGCATGTATTTGAGTCTTAATGTCTTTCTTGGCTCAGAACTAGATGGATGTCATTTGGATAACGTGAGAAAAGGCAGGGCTCCAGCTTACCTCTGTGGCTCCGAGCAGTGCATGTACCATGAGGTCTCCCCCTGTCCCAGTGCCCTGGCCCGTACTGCTGAGCTGGAGCAGATCCCAAGTCGATAAGCAGGGCAGTCTGTGACTGTCGTTTCCCAGTAATGCTGGCCACAAGCAGGCAGCTCCTCACCCAGCACTGATGGGATTCTGTAAGCAAAGTTGATCAGATAAACAGCACAGAATTCTTTTGAGCAGCCACATATACAAACTCACACTCCTTTCATGCAGAATTCCATTGATGGAAATTGCTGGAATTGGACTCAAGTCATTCCCTGTTCATGGTGCTCCTGACCTCAAGCAGATTAGACGTTTGATATTTGTCCACCGGCTCACACAGCCTGCACATATGGCACGCTGCCTCTCCCGAAGGAGCTGGGAACCAGAAAATCACTAGAATAATGGCCAGAAGAAAGAAATGGCACAATCTCTGCTTTTAGGAAGAAGGTGGGAACCCAACTTGCAAAGTTTTCTTCCAAAATTTTCAAAAAAAGCATCTCCATAACCTTCTTACACAATGGGCTTCCTAGGCACAGTGACCAAATGAGGTGAAACTCTGCAATGGAGAGACAGCTGACAAGGCTAAACTGGCAGAGCAGAGGTGACCCTGTCCAGGTCAGGTGGGCCTCTGTCGAGCTGTAGCCCACCCTTCAGGACTCTGGCCTCTGAATTGCAGCAGTTGCCCTGAGAGCTCAGTAATGTGCCTTTTTTGTCTCACCTTAGCTATTTTTGCCAGAGGCATAGTGCAATGAACCCAAGCACTTCCAAATGCTGATGGGTGACCTTGTTTGCATGAATTGCTTGATTTTCCTTAGAAATGGCTGAGACAGCAAAGAGGCACTTTTAATTTCAGCAGCGTTAATATTCAGTCAGCACCTTTTCCCTCTCCCCTTTAATAGATGAGAAAATGATTAATGTAAGGGAATGGAACATATCTCACTTTCTCATCTTTACCCCACAACCTCATTTCAGAGAGGTGGTTGTAGATGAGCTCTACTCCCTGGAGCAAAGCCTGGCTGCCTGATATTTATGAGCTAATTTTCAGGTTAATAAGAAGTAAACAAAATTCTATAAAATATATTACAATTTTCATCAGTTATCATCTATGAACCATTGCCAACTCCATCCAATTTATTTTCTTTTTGATTTTTTATTTTTAGAAACCCAAAAGACAGAAAAGCCCAATCTATTTCTTAAATCTTTTTTTTTTTTCCTAAATCCATTCATGTGTGTATTTTTAGCATTCACAATGTGCCAGGGCCCATGCTAGATTCTGAAGACTCAAAGACACATAAAACAGGCCTGTTATTTGACAATTATTCCCAGTTGAGTAGCTGGCAAATGACTCTGAAATCATTTGTTCTTTTACACAGATTAAGATTAAAGGGTGCCAGAGCCCAGTGAGGGTTTGGCCATTTCCAGGAGAGGAAGCCCTCAGCTGAGCCACAGACAGGTGAGAGCAGCCTGGCAGGCACAGCACAAGTCCTGTCCCCCCAGGCCACCTAGTGCTTCACTGTAAGCCCAGAACCTGCGGGAGCAAGTCGAGAATTTTCCAAATTTCCCCCCCCACTTGGTCATTTTGACTGTTAAAATAACCATGAGAAGCTACAGGCAAATTTAAACTCAGTCTCCCACTCCGACCTCAGCTTTTGATTCTTTTCTCCGATGCTTCATTTCATGGGAACTACTGTGGGGAAGAGTATGTGGCCAGAATAGAATAGGAACTCAAATTCCCACTATTCCTTTTCAAGTGGTTGATACAAAATCTGATTTGTTATTGAAAATATAGAATTATTACTGGGCTGTTCTTCATTGAACCAGAAATAATACCTTAAAATGGCCACTATTCTAAACAACCATCTGCACTTAGATTCCCAATAAAAATATTGACACTTGTTCCAAGTTATGAAGTGTCCGTCACTCCCTACCCCTGGAGTGGCTATGAGTGCTCCTGGGGTGCGCACATGTTTGTGTTCAGGCCACGTCCAAACACATCCTTTACACCAGGAATATGCACAGGTCCCAGAGATGCCAGAGCCTTGCCCCACATGCTCTCTCCACTTACTCCGTCAGCCGCCTCCTCTCAGTGAAGCTGATCACCGTCCCATCAGAGGAGATCTGGAGAGAAGGATGAGCAGTCTCTCTCAGCAACAGAAATCTGGTTCCTGTGACAGTTGAGAAAATAAGAAAACATTGGCACAATGTCCAGTGGTAGGCCAAGCCCCATGTTTCAAGACTTGGTCTCCCTTTCCCCTGACATAACAACCCCCTCTGCAGAGTTTTCAGATCCACTGCTGAAAATTTCATTCATGATAAGGGATTAGTTCAGGCCCCTGATTGGTCACCTTTACCGGTGATACAGTTTTGTCCTCACAGGAGTGTCCCTACTGTCCAGATCTCCTGAACCAGCATCCATACCTTCCAAGTGCCCTACTGGGACACCAGGCTGCCCTGCCTGCATCCCAAACAAGGCCCAGGCACAGGGGCAAATGACTAAAGGTGTCCCTTGAAGTCTTGTGCCACCTCTGTATCTCAGGTAAGGTAGCAAAATGATCACCTTTTCTTTTCTCACTTCCTTTAACCATAATTGAGAACTGCCAAACATTTCTTTTGTTGGCATCATCTGAGTACTTCCCCCCAAATGTCACAGAACAGTTTTATCACTTCTTTGAGTTATTCATTCATTTAAAACACATTAATTCTGACAAACTAGAATAAACAGAACAAGACTAGAGACTTGTTCACAGGCCTCACAGTAGGACAGATGAGGAACATCCTCATCCCTCTACATGTAACCCTCTATACTCACAGATTGCAGCACACTGTGAGGGAAACACAGATCATATGGGAAGATTTCTAAAGCATGAATGTTCAGGCCCATCTCCAGGTCAGTTCAATCTATTTCTCTCAACTAGGGCCGGGGCATTGCTATATTTTAAGTAGAATGAACGATTGTTAAACTCGAGCAGCCAAGCTCAAGAACCTCTGAATTATATTAAAAAAAAAAAAATCAAGGAAACAACTTGATCCTTGACCAGTCTTGGGACCGTAGGACAAAAACCTCCACTGGCAGTAGGTTAGGCGCTATTTGAAGCTGCCCTCTAAATGTCTGGGGGTCACAGGAGGGAATGAATGAAATGCTCATATGAAGGAGAAAGCACCTTTCGTGGAGATGAGGGCAGCATCACTCTGTTCACTTGTCCCAAATGCATTGATGGCTCTCACATAGAAAAAGTAATTATCGTTGGGTTGGAGGTTAACTTTTAGCTGGAGCCCTTTAATTCCAGAGAAAGATCTAAATACAAAGAAAAAATAATGTTAACTATAATGTCATGTGCTAAATGACTCATATTTCAATTCTGCCCTGAATACACATCTTTTATTAATGTCAAATAACTTATTTTCTTCCCTTTGTGATCATTGGAGTTAGCAAGCTAGATTCAGCAAAACAGCCAGTGTCCACTAAGGTTACTTCATCAAATCATTTCTGTTCTTGTCAACTTTTGTCCAGTATGTTCCTTTGACAATGCTCTTTGGAAAAGAACCAGACACCTTTTAAAACATTTTTCTTTTCAGAACAAGAAAACCAGTAATTTTGTGGCTAGCAACTCCAATAATACATTATTTCCTTTATTAATTTTTTTTCTCTATTAATTTTTTGGCTGACAATATACGAACAGAAGATCATAGGCAGGAAAAAGGATAAAATAGGATCTCATTGAGCTTTATTAAAAATCAATAGGAAAATTTACTAAAAGCAGTTTCTGTCTCTGTAGGTAGATTCTGCAATTAGAGCAATTAGAAAGACAAAGGAGAGAGAGAGAGAAGGTGGACTGAGGAGCCAGGTAACATAATTACTATAAGAATTTATCAAGAAGAGTTAACAGAACACTGAGAAAGCCAGAAACATAAAAGACGAGGAAAACCAGCCCCCCTCACCCATCTGAAAGAACATAAAGGCGATAAGGAGCAGCCACCTAAGGACTCTTATTTAATATATAAAGCATACATGTCCCCTTTACTTAACCATTAACTCTAAGTTACCTTTCTGTCCCCACCCCACACACACTTATCCATCACAAATGGATAGGAAGAAATCAAACAGCCAGATAGAATGTAGGCAGAGGTGCTCAAGTGAGGATCAAAGACAGCCAGAGAGAGCATCAGATGACAACTTCCAGGTGCCCACATGAAGGGTGGGAGAAATCACTAGTCCTAAATAAAAAAGGAGCTGAGGACAAAAACCCACAAGTATTTCACTTGGATATACTCTCTACTCATCCAGAACAGTTGTCTGTCATCTCCCTCTTCCCTCCTTTCCCTACCTTCAAATAAATTGTCTTCTTTTATTTTAAACTCTGCTTCTTTAATTCTTTATTGATGCAGGGTTTATGATCGCAGGAAACTACATTTTCCAACAGAGCAGTGGCTTGTTGTCCACCCCTGGACATGACAAGAAGACTTTTGGATTAAGATGATGTTAAACCAATTTATGATATAAAAACTGGTAAAGAAGGCAGTATCTTTTTAAACAAATAATCGTGACAAGGAAAGAGAATTCTAATACCCACTCCTTAAACAAATCCTCAAAGTTGCTATTTTTAGGTGATTCATTTACATTAAAAGAAAGTGCTGGGGCCAGGGATTTAGCTCAGTGGCACCACACCTGCCTAACAAGCACAAGATCCAAAGTTTGATCCCCGGTACCGGTAACGGAAAAAAAAAAATTGCTGGTAGTGCTACCTATTGGCAGTGGGCTTGGCAAGCAAACTGTCATTTTCCAACCACAAGTGGCCTTGCTGGGGTCGCACATGGAACTCTCTGGATTTGCAATGATCCGGAAGAGTTGTGTGCTTTTTTTTCCCCCCCATTCTCTTTAATCTGCTGGATATGATAGCCTGGAGTCCTGATAGCAGCACACAAGACCTCTTTCTGTGAGCTTCCATCCTACTAGAGTTACAAGTCAGGTTTCTTGCTAATCAAAGAATCCTACCCCAAGTCCTGAAGAGTCTGTTCTGGGAGACTTGTATTAATGGCAATCAGTGAAAATAACTAAAAATCACAGCACAATTCCCTGAGTGCTCATTCTCAGACAGTTGGGGGCGGTCCTTTTTCTTTTCTTTTCTTCTCTTCTCTTCTCTCTCTTATTTATTTATTTGTTTGTTTGTTTGTTTGTTTATTTATTTATTTTTGGTATTGTTGTTAATGAATGCACCACAAGCTAGGCGTGGTGGTACATGCCTGTAATCCCAGCACTTGGGAGGCTGAGGCAGGAGGATAGCTGTGAGTTTGAGATCAGCCTGGGCTACATAGTGAGTTCCAGCTCAGTCTCAACTACATAGTGAGACCCTGTGATGGTCTATACCTCAATTTAATAAAGGCTATTTATGAAAAACCATCAGCCAACATCATATTGAATGGCCAAAAACTAAAAACCTTCATGTTAAAATCAGGAACAAGACAAGGATGCCCACTATCGCCACTTCTCTTCAATATAGTTCTGGAAACATTAGCCACAGCAATTAGACAAGAGAAAGAAATTAAAGCAATAAAGATAGGAAAGGAAGAAGTTAAACTATCATTATTTGCTGATGATATGATACTCTACATTGAAGATCCAAAAAACTCCACCAAAAAACTTCTAGACTTAATTGACAGATTCAGTAGAGTATCTGGATACAAGGTGAATACCCAAAAATCAATAGCCTTTCTATACACAAATAACAGACAGACAGAAAGAGAAATAAGGGAAAAAATTCCTTTTACAATAGCATCCAAAAAA